CTATCTGCGGCTCCTTTTCCTCCCCTACACCACAGCCCAAGCCTTGCAGATGGTGCTGGTGTGATCTGACTTTGGCCCTGTTATGTCTCAGCCCTCTTTTTGTCCTCGAGGCTCCTCGTCACCCCTCTGCCCTCTCGGGACTCCTCGCCACCCCTCTGCCCTCTCGCCACCTTTCTGCCCTCTCGGGGCTCCTCACCGCCCCTCTGCCCTCTCGGGGCTAGGCCAATGCACCCACAACATACTGCACCTTCTCCAGCACCAGGAACCCCCACGCTACTGGGGAGTCCCTATGAGGCCTCCTCCACCCCTAATAGCCTCACCTGGTCCTCCGGTTAAACAGTAAACACAAACCACAAAGCCCCCAGGCTATAACATAAAGCTAAACCGTCTGGTCAGACAACAGTTAATCCCTAGCAGGCAAAAAAATATATTCCAGCTCATGGCCGGAACCCATGGATACTTGTGCAGCCAAACCTTTGCCTTCTTTCTGCACTGGCCGAGCTCTTCACTCTTTGGCTGTCAGAGGAGGAACTGCCACCCTAGCCTCCTGCCTGGGTTTAAGAAGGGCTAAGCCCTGCCCCTTCCTGTCAGGGGGTTTCACCGGTTGCCCTGGCAACCAGCACCTGTGTTGCCCTGGTGGCTGCACCTCCCCCTTCTCACTGCTAGGGGGCTCTCTCGAGCCATCCCTGTTCTCAGGCGCAGGGCACCTAAGTGCTCTGTGACACACCTCCCCACCTTTTTACTCCAGACTCAAAGCTGAGTACTTCTTTGCCAGGTGTTCCATTCGCCTGGGGTTCTCCTCTCAGCCGTTTCCTCTGGCACCCAGCCATTTAGGTATAGGAGGTGGAGGTTTTTAGGCGCCTCCTACTCGCCTTTTACCCAAGGCGCACCGTGTGGGATTTGTTGGGAGTAACCCACCACAGGTAGTCCCCCCACACTAGCCATCCTTGGTAGGGCGCCACTTAGGCTGGTCTTACCTCCCGGTTTTAGACATTCATGCGGGTAGCCCTGGGCAGGGCGTGTCCTGCTGATGAAGACGGCTGACACATTATCATCATCGTTGGGAGCCTGTCTCCCTGCCGCTCCCCTGCCTCACCCCAGTTGCCCTTCTTCGGCTTGGCTTTTCTCCTCCAGCTGCCCCTCCCAACAGGCACCCCCCTGGGAGATCCCAGAATGGGAGGGGTCACTCGGCCTCCTAGCAGTGAGGTTAGGGCCTCGAAATATATGCCCCCTTCTTTCTCTTGTCCAGGCTCCCTCTGTTCCTTCTGGTCCCTCTTCTTCCTCGTACTGTCTAGAAAGAAAGTTGGGATTTCTATTCTGTGTTCCTGGGTGGTGTTCCACCTTAAAACAATACGGTTGGAGGCTAAGGGCCCACCTCATGAGTCTTGCATTATCGGTTTTCATACTCTGCAACCAGCGCAGGGGTGCATGATCAGTAACCAACGTGAACTCCCGCCCTAATAAATAGTATCGTAATGTTTGGATGGCCCATTTAATGGCTAGACACTCCTTCTCAACTGTGGCATAATTCCGCTCCGGCGGGTGTAGCTTCCTACTTATGTAGGCTATAGGATGCTCGTCTTCTCCTTCCCTTTGCACCAATACCGCACTGATGGCCACGTCTGATGGATCGGTCTGTACCAGGAAAGGTTTGTTAAAATTGAGTGTATATAAAAGTGGTTTTATGCATAGTGCATCTTTTACCGTTCAGAATGCCTTCTCTGCCTCTGGTGTCCATCTTACTTTGGTTGGGGCCCTTGCCTTTATCATCTCCGTTAATGGTACAACTATGTCTGCAAAGTGGGGTACAAATTTCCTATAATAACTGGCCAGCCCCAAGAATGCCCTGACTTGTCTTTTGTTACGGGGTGTCTGATACCTCCACAAAGCCTCCACTTTGCTCAGCAATGGTCTCACCTTCCTGCTCCCCACTAGGAACCCCAGGTACTGCATCTCCTCCTTTCCTATCGTACACTTCCTGGGATTGGCTGTCATCCCTGCTCTCCTTAGGTCTTGCACTACTGCTCTCAGCGTGGCGAGATGTTCATCCCAGCTCTCAGTATATATATAATAATATCATTGACATATGCTGTGGTGTAACACCCATGGGGAGACACTCTGTCCATTAGCCACTGGAACGTAGCTGCAGCTCCATGCAGCCCAAATGGCATGCGTCGGAACTGGAAGAGCCCCCACGGGGTGGCGAACGCTGTTTTCTCTTGATCCTTGGGTGCCACTGGGATCTGCCAGTAACCCTTTGTCAGGTCTAACATGGAAATGTAACGTGCCTGCCTGATGTTTTCTACCAGCTTGTCCACTTGGGGCATCGGATAAGCGTTGAACTTGGCCACTCCGTTTACCTTCCAATAATCGATGCAGAGGCGGATCTTTCCATTGGGCTTAGGTACCGCTATGATGGGGCTTCGCCAGTCACTGTGGGATTCGCATATTATACCTTGTTCCAGCATCATTGTCAGTTCGGCTTTTATCTAGCCCTGGAGTCGTTGGGGGATCCGTCTCCAACTCTCACGTATCACCTGGCCTGGAGGAGTTTTTATCCAGTGTATCACACCCTGAGCCTCCCCCGGGTTTCCCCGGAATACATCTTCGAATTCCTTGACTAGCTCAGCAGCCTGTCTCCTCTGATCTTTTGACAAGCGTGGGGCCAGCTCTACGTCCTCAGGTCCATTTTCCTTCATTAACGTGGGTCCCAACTCCAATTCCTCAGGATGAGGGGCTAGGTACGTACACTCCCGGGTCTCCCACCTCTTTAACATGTTAACGTGGTACACTTGCTTCTTTTTTTTCTTATCCATCTGGTGTACCTCATAGTCCACAGGCCCCACTCGGTGTATGATTTCATAGGGTCCCTGCCACCGGGCAAACAACTTACTTTCACTGTCCGGCAATAGGACCAACATGCAGTCCCCCATGTCAAACTCCCTTTCCCGGGCGCCTCAGTTGTAATGCCTTACTTGCCATTGCTGGGCTTCCCTGAGGTTTCCTAAAACCAGGGTTCAAGCCGCTTCAAGGTGTTCCCACAGTTGGATCACATATTGAATGATGTTCTGGTCATTACTCTGTTGTTCTTCCCACCTCTCTTTAATTAGATCCAGGATTCCCCTCGGTTGCCGACCGTACAATAATTCAAAAGGTGAAAACCCAGTGGAGGCCTGGGGTGC